ACACTGTAGGAACAAGAAGAAACTTGTGTTTTCTGTTAAAGTCCCCTCCACTGAAAACTCAATCAACACCAAGTTCATCAAACAGATTTATTTAAAAAGTCACATTTAACAAAATAATATTCAATAACAGTGTATGTGATAAACTGCTGACAAACAAAACTAAATGTATCATTCAACCCCATCAGACACTGGTGCACTGGATGCTTTAGCACACACAGCATATGTTACAATCGCTGCTGGTGCTGAAACTATTTCAAGAATGTCCAGATAAGTGAAAATCTATTTCACAATTCACTCATAACTGTAATAATGAGTGATAATTTCAAATCATGAAACATTTAACAAAATAGTTTTTACAAATTTCTCAAAGGTCAACACAAACCGATCCAAGGCCAGTATCCAGGGAGAATACATCTAATTCCATGAACAGTATTTGGACATGCACCATGTCTGGTCATTACAAAGCTGTGTAAAACACAGGCCGTGCTCTGGGAGGGAGCGGCCCTCAGTTGATGGTAAGCACATCGCTCTGGATTTCGTGGCTAAGCTGAGTCTGCAGGTCACTCAGCTTCTTCTTGAGGACGGCCAGCGCTGACATAACGATGGTCTCCGGTCGCAGAGAGCCGCAGGACTCCACGTTGTAGAAGAACCTGCGTAGGAAAATGTCACAGGTGAGCTGCTGGGACTTCTGATTCTTGCGTTCAGCTTCATTATTTAGCAGATTATAAAGTAATTCAAAGCAGAGACAAAAAAATGTGTCTTTCCTCACCTTTCTGGCTTTCCATTAGGGTCATAGGGAGCCTGAACCTCATCCTCTTCAATCTCTGAGTATTCACTCTTTGGCCTGACAACCAGAGCAATCAATCCATCACTCAGTCATCATTCAACATCAGACATTAACATCTATTCTTTAGGTTGAGCCATACTAAAATGAAAACATACCACTCCTCAGGCCGTGGGTAGACTGTGTGCCTCAGTGCGTTGTCTGGGTCGTACTCAAAGGACACGCCCGCCGTTGGATTCCACTTGGCGTGCTCCTTACCAAAACCTTTCTTGGCGTACGCCCTGAGCCGCAGTTCCTGACCTTTACGAAGCTTCACTAGTAAAATGTCTATGTTGTGTCAGCGATTGACAGGGGAGGAAGAAGAGGGAGGAAGGAAAAGGTAAATATCTAAAAAGGACCGTAACAACCATGGTTTACCCCTCAAGACAGCTTTAAGCTTACCATCCTGTTCGACATAATCATTGGGATCGTTGTCTCGACTCCTGGAAGTCACCTGGAAAGCCCAATGAAAAGACTGTCAACTTTTTTCCCTCCCCTCTAATGACTCCTACTAAACAGAGTAAGTACTCACCGGGATGACTCTGGGGTTGTTGGACAGAAGGTCACGTGAGGTGACGTGGCGCGTCTGGTCCTCAGTACATCGGACGTCCAGTGTCAGCTCCACAGAACACTCTGGACAAAAATCATCACAGGTACAGTCCTGCAGGGGGAAACGACAGACAGTTAACTTGTATTTCCGTACCAGCAGCTGTCTATTATTCATGGTGTTGCATTTAAGGGTACCCGGGGCTACATCACTGAGGGCTGATATCACAGTATACTTACCCTAGAATACTGCATTTTGTCCACGATGTCATCACTTGTGAGAGGTATGAGACCTGACGACACAGGAACCATCAATATAGTTACAGCAGCCCTTACAAGCATCAGACCGCTGTGGTAATACTGCAGCAATAATCATGATTTTAATTATTTTTTTTTTTCAGTGAAAAATAAAATGATCATTCCCAAAATCATGAATTGCATCGTAATATCTGTTAAAACGATTGTAATATGATGATTTTACCATATTGTGCAGCACTTATTAAAAGCTTAGCATAAACACTGAGATACATACCAACTCTGTGTGCAACAAACTCATCATGCAGTACTGACGAATTGGCATCGATCTGGATCCAGTCAATCGCTGCAAATAAAACAATGCAAGATTAATGATTCATGCAGGTAAGTGATATATACATTTTTGTGTTTATGAATTGCTTTTTGGACAGTTGCATTGGACTGAGAAAGCTGTAGAGGACGGGCAGAACCAGGACATTCAGACATTGCGAGATAATCATATTGTGAGTTCAGTGCATTGTTTGTCTTCTGTTTAAAACTTCAATTTAAACTCAGGGTTAATCACCATTTTGAAAGCAGTGTAGTATCTTTAATGCATTATTGTGTTTTAATGGTGCGGATGGAGAAATTCATAGGCTCTTTCTGCAAAAGCACACGTTAATATTCTGTTCTGGACCAAAAGATTATTTGTCATGAGCAATTTCCTCTTATTATATGTACATTCAGACAACCAAAGAAGTAAACAAGTACTATACCTATAGTGGCAACTTCTGACATGAACACACGGCGGATAGAGTTTGCAACCCTGAAAAGAGAGATGGATGTTTCAGAGGTAAAGTTTAGTTTAGTAACAGAAGTTACACTCAACTAAGCATTAATGTTGCTGACAGGGAAACATCACTGCTAGCTAATATGAACCGACCCGGACCACCTCTATAGTTAGCTACACACACTTAATACACACTTCATTGTACAGACATTTTATTACAGAGATACTCAGTTCACTACAACTAGCATTATTATTTTAGTGCGTTGTTTAGTCTCAGAACATCCGTTTTGGTGCTGAGAGGAATAATGGCTGCTCTCTGCCTCACACACTTTCGTTGAATGGACAATGAAGTAAATACTCACGCCAAATCAGTGTTTTCAATGACAAACTTGACATTTTCGTCTGTCAGTTCTGTGATCTTCACCGTCGGTTGGTTAGCATACGGCATTATTGCAGTTAAACAAGGCTAAAATTAACGTTGTAAAACCGTCCACACACTCCACTACCGCTGCTTCGGCTTGACGGCCTCCACGGAATTATTTACCACCCGCTGATTGGCCAGGAGATGCAAGTCTGATTTGCGATTGGCTTCGATGAGGCACGGGGGCGGGCCTTCATTTAATATCCGGGTCATAGATGTTTGGAAGTACTTTTTCAAAATAAAAGTGCTCAATAATTTTTTTGGATAACATTTACAATTTAATTGTATATGGATAGACAATTCTGATTACCAAATTTGTATTTGTTTGTGTGATAATGTAGTCCATTCTTATTGCCACAGTATCTTTTTCAACAATAAGTAAAAATATTTTACATTATACTTACTGTAAATTGCAAAACTCTACTCCTGGAGTTGTGTTTGCCTGAGATATTATTTTAATCAGATAATTAAAAAACAAACAAAAATGTTAAATATACAATAATAACTACTTTATTGAAGTCCAACAAAAAAAAGTACAGATCTCTGTGTCCTCTTTTACAAAAAGGAAAAAAATGATCTGAGCTGGAGAGTGATATCTTGGACTGTGAAACAAAACAAGACAACGCCACTGGTCCTGCAGGTGAACACACAGAGGACAAATAATAGCTTTCTCTTGCTGAATATAAGCAATAATCCAATACTTTCAGACTCATACAGTTAATCAGAAATAAGAGCAAAAAGAAAATTGATCTTCAGCTCATGACACAAGCCAGACGGTCAGGATCAGCGTGAGTGAGATTTGTGTGAGTTTTACATCATCGCCTCTGGTTTATTCCTGTGAGGTTCTTCAGCTGTAAAACACAAGACAAACATCAGCCACATATCTATCAATACATTTGAATGTAACAAAAATGTAGAGCCTCTGCAGTGTTACCTCATTAAAATGCACTGAATGTATAAATCTGCATAAATCTTTAAGCATGACTCAGTTATTAATATCATCATGAGGAAATGTTTCCAATTAACAGCATAGATTACTGGTCTGCATATACTCAAAAAGGAAGGGAGTATGCATATATAAGAGTGCATATGAATGATGAACATGAGGCAAAGACTCACGGTAACAGCAGCTCCCATGAGCCCCTGCACCACTGCTTCACCAGTCGACTGCACCTACAGAACAAATTGGAACAAGGAATTAGGTCAACTGTTACAGGTTAACATCTGAGTCTGAACTTATACTGAACTTGTGTTTCATGTATCGAAGCATCATCCTTTCTTTTGAAGTTTTGCTTTGCATTTGGCTCCATGTTTAGGCCAATCTGGGTAGTGTGGTGGGAGGAGAATAACATTATCTCATGACACTCATTTGAGGTCTGTTATGTAATTATTCCACTAATGGGTAAAGCCATGAAACACAGAGAGGTGGGTGTTCCTACATGAGTACCAAAAGATACCATAACTCCTGACTACACTTCATCTGTTCAACGCTTTGTCCAATTCTTTAATGCGGTGCACTCTACCTGTTTAGCTGTGGTGGCCATGTTGACTACATCCTGAATGCGGTTGTCAAGGAAGTTCCAGGTGTCCTGGAAGTCTGGAGAGGAATCCTGAACCATCACCAGCTCTGTGGTGTTATAAATGCCTGTCAGCGCTGCCCGTTTTGTGTACCAGTTCATCTACAAAGAAAGGGGTTCGTACGAAAAGTTCGTATTGTAGATTTTTTTAAAGAGGCAAGGTAATTCTAAACTCAACATGCCTTACATCACAATGCATACAGCAAACTACAGTTAGGACATCACATGGATATCCAGTCATGCAATATTATCTCATCATGCCACTAAATCTATTGCAAGTGTGCCACTGATCAACAAAAACCTGATCTAAAGTCAATGGCGCAGTATTATTGAGATAGCTGCACCTACATAGGCAGGTTCACAACGCAAATTAACTTTGCTGGTTACACACCCAGGGATGAGCAGCAGCGCTTCTCCTACTTAGTTAAATATCTATAATATAATAATGCATTTGATGACATGCAGTTAAATGGAGCTGTGGGTGGGACAGAGGATTGGTTGGGAGACAGCAGAGGCGGAGAGGGTCCACCGTAACCTTGTGAGGCAGCTGAACTTGCAAGATCACAAAATCACGCAAGAATCCATCTAGCCAGGCTCTATGTGTGTGTACGGGAACAATCAGCATCCTATGAGGAACTACTGGCAGCAATGACATGAGCTATGGGCGTGGTTTAAATCTAGGCGTGTGTGACCATGTGTGTGAGAAATGAATGTTTGCTTGCGAGCAACAATGGCGGCTGCTAAGGAGGTTAGCGTAAATGCTGCTAGCACTGAAGGCTTTTCTCAATGGAAACATTTTTCTGTGTGACGAAACTCAAGTGATGGTGGTGCAGTCAGTTTAGGTCCATACCTGTCCCTCAGCGAAGACGAGTACCGCTGTAAAGGTTGCTTATCCCACCACACTGTAACAGACATCTGTAATCTGTCAGATGGTTTGGAGACTGTGACCTGTGCACTTCCCGTTGCTGTCAAAGTCACTGCTGTGCTGCATTTCTATAGAAGTGACTGTAGTTCAATTCCAGGTATGAGTACGCAGGGACAGCTGGCATTAGCCTCCAAATCCTATGACTGATTAAAGATGTCTGTTACAGCCTGGTGGGATGAGCAGCTCTGTTTCCTCAGCAGAAAACGTTCACTTCTCCAACTTGGCGAATCCTCCATTTATTATTTTTTAAAGGAATGGGAGATGACACTGATGGGTTTAATTCAACTTATGCCACAACACACCTATGATTAATCAAGAAATTAAATGCAACCCCTTTGCGCCTTACCCTGACTGTCTGACAACCACTTCTAACATTACTATCAGGATGAGAAGGAAGCAAGACTAGATTATGTAAGGGACAATAAATGATGAGGTGTCCCAATATAAGATAATAATGAATGAGGCTGTGATGAAGAACAGTTTGAAAGTCCATTTCCCTAATATGAAACTGTGTCCTATCATGCTTAAACCATGGCCAAAGGAAAGACAGGAGAACTGAAAATCATCAGTCTGTATTTTAAATTTCTTCTGGCCAATGTGTTGCTGAGAGAATATGGTTCAACCCCTAGTTAGTTTAAATTCATCACTAGTTTTGCTCTGGTTACTTGCAGCCAAATATAAGCCGAGTATGGATTTAGGACGCGGATTAAACCTTTGACTGGAGCAATGATAAGATACTCATTTTTAAAGGCGCCTGCCGGCTAATCAGTCGGAAGTCATTTCTATGGCCATGGTGTAAAGCAGGGAGAGTGTCAGGTGTTGGCGGGGGGAGTAACCTGGGAGGTGGCAGGCCTGATATTGTGGGGGTGGTGATGAAAGGGGGACAGGAAGGTATGAGCAGAAGAAGAAGGGGATCGAGGGTGATAGGATCCACTCACGTCTGTGGATCGGTCTCCGGCGTAGTACCAGATGTCGTCCACCAGGGTGGACAGGTGCTTCAGGCTGTCTGGGATGTTGTGAGGAAGGAGCAGGATGCTCATCGCCTGGAACACACACACACTTAAATTATGGTCGTATTAGAGTAAAATAGACGATGAAGC